ATAGCTGTAGATAATATGTTAGAGAGAGTGATATATGAAGCAAAAAAAAACAATAAAAATAATTTTTTATTTAAATATATTAAAAAGTGTATTCGTATAGGGCACCCAGCACGCATAGATGAACAGCTTACTTCTTTCTGTATAGATAAACAAGCAGCACAGAGCGAGGCCTCAGAGGTAGCAGGGGCCCTCAAACAATCCTTAGATAAGAGCTTGCAGCAGCTGCGTAAGCTCCATACAAACCGCCAATACTACCACCAGCAGCAACAGCAGCAACAGCAGCAGCAGCAGCAGCAGCAGCAGCAGCAGCAGCAGCAGCAGCAGAGGGGAAAAGGAGTGAAACGAGAGCTGCAGGAAGAGATAGGAAGACTCAGAAAGGATTTAAAACAACTACAAAAAGCTGCTGTTTTCGAGGCCCTCAGGGGGGCCCCCATTGTATTCACAACATGCGCGGGGGCGGGGCTGCAGCAGCTGCAGCAGCTGGTGCTCGACAGCAGCAGCAGCAGCAGCAGCAGCAGCAGCAGCAGCAAAAGCAGCAGCAAGGAGGGATTGCCCTTTGATGTCGTTGTTATAGATGAGGCAGCACAGGTATATATCTCCTGCTGCTGTTTGTTTTATTTTATTTTATTTTATTTTTATTTTGTTTTATTTTATTTTATTTTATTTTATTTTATTTTATTTTATTTTATTTTATTTTATTTTTATTATGTTCTTTTATTTCTACTCGTCGATGCCGCCCCCAGTTCCTGCTGCTGATGTTGCTGTTGCTGTTGCTGCTGCTTTTTGCTGCTGCTGCTGCTGCCTGGTGCCGCTCTTCTGTTCGAGCACCTACACCTGCTGCTGCTGCTGCTGCTGCTGCTGCTGCTGCAGTTGCTGCTGTTGCTGCTGCTGTTGCATAAGTTGTATTAGTTGTTGCTTTATCAGCAGCAGCACATGCACCAGCTGTTCTCTGTTTTCTCTGTTCTCGTTTTGCTGCTAGTTGATCCCTCATACATATTCATCTGCTGCTGCTGCTGCTGCTGCTTCTGCTGCTGCTGCTGCTGCTGT